AAACAGAATCACAGAACTGTAGAGTTGGAAAGTACCTTGAGGGTCATCTAGTCCAACTTTCTAGTCCATCTAGTCTTGCTTTGTTTTAGCCAACAAGCAAGTATTACCTTGTATGAGTGGGTCAATCAAAGCAGAAAGTTCTGGGCTTCCTTTGGGCACCTGTCTGGTCACTGTGGGGGACAGAATGCTGGACTAGAGGGATCTTTGGTCTGGTCCAGCAGGACTCTTCTTCCATTCATAAGATTAACCTCAAGTATGGAGGGACATCATTTGATAGGATGGAACATGATACCCAGCCCAGCCCATCTTTCTGACTTTCTTCTGTGGTTGAGGAACAAAGTATCATTTTCCTTTCTCACCTGAGTGTAGTCTGTCTGGCCATGTAAGGCAATGGTGGCAGCTTGCATTCTAGATGCACCACAGTTGCATGCAACTGGAAGTATGGCTACAGAGTCCTAGACCTCTTATAATGAACTGCAAGGATGTGCTGGGGAATGGGATGGTCTGTAACACTAATGCCCACAATGTGTGGGTGTCAGATGTTCCACTTGGGTGTATCCTAGTTCCAATATGAGCTTTGCAGAGACATGTCTTAAATTGCTCGGGACAGCTTTTTCAAATTCTCCTTTCCGCAAGAGCGGCCTGCTAAGAGACTCGATCCCAGCTGGTCCTACTATAATATTGATCTGTAATATTAAAGTGTGATTGATACTCTTGGCCAGTGATTTACAATGAATTTATTCTAATGGATCTATAGAAGAATATCAGGCAGTCTACAGTAAGATCAGAAGTGGCATGAAAGTTGCCCAAAGGTAATCTTGCTCGTCGTCATCATTACCTAGTTTTCCCTCTCTGCAAGGTGCAATTGCAAATGAGGCAAGGGTGCCCTGGACTCATTAGAGCATACTCTCTGTTTGTGTGGCACTGTCTTGAAGCACTGTGTCATTGCTGGCACCAACCTGAGGTCCAATGAACTTGCAGGCACCTGTGTCCCAGTGTTGTCTTCACTGCACAGCTTGACTACAGCAAGCAAACAGATGCAGACCATGCGGCCCACTTAGCCTAATGCATCCAAAGCTGCCACTACAGAGGCTGAAAGATGCTTCTGCACATCAAACCCCCATGCAAAATTAACAAGCCAGGGAAAGGCTGGTGTATAGCAGGTGTTATCAGACTCCCATCAGTTCCAGACAGTAGAGCCAATGATTAGGGATGATGAGAGTTGGAGTCCAACAACATCTGGTGAGCCAAAGGCTACCGATCTCAGCATGACAGCATTTGATCCCTCATTTGCACTCAGAAAAGGCACCGCCAGCAACCAATACATCACATGGGGCTTCTGTTCATCTGTTTTGACTCCAGTTATTGGCAGAATAAAGTTCTGGAAGTGCATATAGCTGGGGATGTTGACTGACTGCCTACAGGGAAAGGCCAAGAGCTCTGTGGTCTACCACATGCTTTTCATGTAGAACGCCCCATGTTCAAGGCCTGACTGGGAAAGTTCTCTGTCTCAGAGAGTCATTGTAGGCATTACCGACTTAGATGGACCAACAGTCTGATTGAGTGTGAGGCAGCTTGCTGTGTTCAAGGGGAGATGTGCTGCAGCAGGACAGTTGCTGAAGCAGTGCTTCATTCAGCCTATTTCTAATCTGTATCTCTAGAACCTGCTCTCCTGACTCCTTGTTGCAACAGCTTTGGACAGGCTTGCTTTTTTGGATCGATGCCGTGCCAGTTCCTCATGATACATTCTTGGTTAACCACCACTGTTTTCCCTGTGGAACATCTGAGCACCACCACTGGCTGGCATGTGATGGTGGGGCAAAGAATAGCAACAAACAAGTGGAACAGGCACAGAGGATGATGCCTGAAACAATTTCTCCCGTAGATCAGGCCCTGCCTCTGACAGATCTACATGAAATTGAAGCCTGTAGCCAGGACCTTATCGAGCTTCAGATCGAGCTGGAAAACCGATCCAAAACTTCTCTGTGCAAAGTGAACTGAAAGCTCCTGATAGCATCAGTTAGATGAGTTGATGGCAGCCTTAATTCCTTACAAATGTGAAACTGTTTTGTTCAAGGGCTGACTCAGAAATTAAGAAGCTTGCCAAGTTGGAGAGCCCAGGGATGTTTGGTTCAGATGGTATCCCTGGTAACCAATTTAGATGTCACATTCCCATACACGGTTCCTTACATACATAATGAGACTGAGAATGCAGCCCTCAGACCACATGCTTTGGGGGTAAGTCCACGGGGATATCTCCAGCAACACTGATTGAAGATGGTGACCTAAAGGTCATTGCTCTTTAAGAGAAGACCAGTTTCTGGATGCAGCGTTTTGAATCATCCGCTGCCTCTAAACCACACTCGCATTCCACAAGGGTTTCATAAAATGAATTCACTGCCCGATTCCAGTAACAGATTTTATGACTGCCCAGCTCCGTAAGGAAGTCCTGCTTATTCCCCCACTTGCACTAATTTATCAGGTATTTTTACTGTAGCTTGTTGCTGCTACCGCTAAGTTACATTCCATATACAAGCACCAAAAGAGGGATTGATGTATGGATTGATGGATCAATAAGGAAATGTTCAAACAAGGGCCTTATTTTCTCCAGACATCAGCATGTGCCCTGTACGATCCATAAGATCTCAGTTCTTGCAAATCTCAGCTTTCATTTAAAGAAAACTCCGCCTGCTCCTGCATTTCTACCTGAGATGTTGCCCATCTGTACAATAGAGGCCCCATGCTCATATGTCTTCACCCAAAGGAACTGTAAGAGAAATGCCCCCTGAAAAATGTTAGTAATTTCTCTCATCACGATACTCATTTACTTCCTGTTTCTTCTCTGTTTGAATCCATCTTATTTTCTTGGCCTTGCTCCCCTTATCTTATTTTCAGAGAATGCAGCAGCCTTCATCAGTCTGGTACCCTCCAGAGGGTTTGAACTAAATCTTCCACCACCCCATTCGTCCACTGGATATGTTGGCTGGGGCTGCTGGGAGTTGTAGTTCAAAAGATCTGGAAAGCAAAATATCAAAATGTCAGTGAAAGCATCCTTTAAACTCCATACATGCCCAGCTCTAGTTTTCAAGGGGTCCTTGATGACCCCTCCAAGTACCAACCAGAGCTTCAAAGTACCCACTGCCACCAGCTTCCTCATTCGAGTGCAGCTGCCATTGAATAAGCCCACTCGCTTGCAAGTGCTATGGTGATTTCTTTATTATCATGCATTGGTTCATGGCAATGGCAGCAGTAAAAACTATGCAGGCAAAATGGTTATATTTACAGTATGACCAGCTTCAGGCTTATGCTTAAAGTTGGAGCAAGAGGATGCATGTCTGCATCCAACACTGATCAAAGGAAGAGACAGAAGAACCGGAAATACTATATGCTTTTTCCTCTCTGGGAGACCAGGGGAAATGACATCACATCGAGCCCTCTCTACCAATTGTACTTCTATGGTTTGCGTATCTGCCTATCAGCAAAACAGCTCTGTGGACTTGGCCCCTTCTTGTGCTAACTAGCAAGGACATGCATTTGTTACGTTTGACTACTAATCTCGCACAATTGCAAGGAGCAGTAGTACATGATTGCAAACAAATGCCCAACATTTTCCATATGAAATTGAAAGCCGGCTTGAGCTGGACTGTGGCAGGCTAAACATAAATGCACTTTGCCCTCAGTTCTCCACCAATAAAACAGGAAGATCTTTGAACTATCCCCCTCCCTGGGGTGTTGTGTGATTCAGACTGCAATCATATACACATTTACCGAGAACTATGTCCCACTTAATTCAATAATAGGGATCACTTTAGAATAGACAATATAACGAGTGCACTGCTAGACTGTAATTCTGTGCATACTTTCTTGGAAGGAAGTCCCATTAAACAGAGCAAGAATTTAACTAGAGTAAACCAATCCAAATAATTTTATTGTACTAGCCACTGGCCATGACAGATCTGAATCAAAAATAAATAAAAGCAAAAGGGGTGTTGCGCCACAAATAATGGTCTCTGTTTAGATCTCTGCATCTCCCTTACAGTTCACTGCTATATCGTCCATTTCTATATCTTCTTTCTGATCCTTTTGGCCGCCAAAACAAAAAGGGAGACTTTATGAGTTTACATCACTAAGAAGCCATAGGACCTTCTCTGCCATGGAGAGACATAACTAGAGTAAGCATAACTAAGAATTGTACTGTTAGTTTAATAGTAGCTGTAAAGCATTTAGGTCTTCTGAAAGGTACTATGTACAGCACAATATTGCTATTGTTTATATGCTTCCAAGAAAGACACATTGCTTTGGGTGGGGATAATGAATTTCGGTAATATCTGGCACATCTACCTCCAGCTCTAAAATGAGGGTTGACCAGCCTGCAAGGCTTTTTCTGGCTATGTGACTCAAAGACCATAATCTGTGTGCTTATCCCGGCACCTTTAGGCTTTAAGGAAATGGCCACAGTTGTCTGAGAATGTGTGGTTTCAGCTCCCAAGAAATCTTGCCACCTTTCCAAAGATTTCCTCACCCTTCCGTCATTCATACAAGTTATAATGGATGACATTAAAAATAGCAACGTTAGTAAGAATAGCAGGCATGCATGGGTATAGTCACAAAATCTTCAGGCTCATTTTAAGAAAAACAGTGCCGAACAGGATTACGCTATGAAATAAAGGAGGACAGCGATTTATGTTTAGTTAATGCTGAATGTGCAGGCACATAAATGTCAAATTAACTCATCATCCATCTCGGATTAGACCAGAACATTAGTTTGCTAAAGAAATTCCCAGGGTTGGTCCTCATCTCTGCCTAACCTGCAAAGCAGGGAGGAACTCATGTGCCTGAACAGACTGAAACAAGCTATAAAGCCAACCCACCTTTAATGGTTGGTTTTAAAGCTGTTTTATGACCCAGGTAGCCTAAAACAAACTGGACCTTGGAATCTGACAACCTTCCTTTCTCTTTTTTCACAAAAGGAAGCTAAATGGAACACCTCTGAGTTCACCACCTGCTTAAGCTCAGTTGGTAGAGCATGAGGCTCTTAATATCAGGGTCCTGGGTTCAAGCCCCACACTGGGCAAGATTCCTGCTTTGCAGGGGGTTGGACTAGATGACTCTCAGGGTCCCTTCCAACTCTACAGTTCTATGATTCCATGAACTGTCACCTGGCGCTTGGAAAGTAAACGTTTTGTGTCGTGTGACAACATTGAACTCCATTGTTCAAAACTCTTCTTTCAAGTCTGAGCTTTGCCGAATTCATTTCCCTCAAGTGCAAACAATTCACATGTTTGCTGGATTTTCCAACACTTTCTCCTTATCAGTTTGTTTCTTTTTCTTCTTCCAACCACACTCCGGCAGCCCTTTCTCCCTCTGTACTGCTGGAGTGTGCATTTCGCAGCCACTCATCAGGCCTCCTCATACTCAAGACACATTCTGCATTCTTTTTCTTCAGTTGTAAAATAAGCTACTCAAGATAAATTGCAGGAAAGAAGCTGGTCTAGGCAGTGCAATTTCTGCAATATTTTAGCCATAGTCATTTCTATTAATTTAAGGTCAATGCCAACATCCATCAAAGATGGCCATAATGCCTTGTCAGGACCAGCCCTATCATTAGGGAGGGACAGGGTGGGACGGCTTCTTCAATCCAAGGATTGCATTTCATCACAGAGAACATGCCGATTGTGGGTGGGGCCAAAGAGAAAAGTGGGCAAGGCAATGTTACAGAAGTTTCTGCACATGTATCCACACTTACCTGCACGCCTCCATCTTCCATGAAGGCAAGAAATGGGTGTTCTCCTAGTTCAAGGCCACATACCACGAAGCCAAAAGCACTTGAGGTCACAGAGCAGGGCCAGTGAGAGGGGTGGCCTGGTGTGTGGCCTGAGTGGGGGAGGAAATGGCCGAGCAATGGTCCCGAGGGCCAGCCAGGGAGACCTAGAGGACTTCGTTTGGCCTAGCAATGGGCCTGAGGTTCCCGACCCTTGAGGTAGAGCAATGCAGTTGCCTCAGGCAGGGAGCAGCTGAGTGGGCCACATGGCCTTCCTTGTCCCCTCCAAGCTATCCTGCTGCCTTCAGGTGTAGGAGACGACTGCTAGTGTTGGGATGGTTTGACTGCAATCTTGCCTTTCGCTTCAGGCGGTAGAATGTCTTGGGCCAGCTCTGCCCATTATCACTGGACGTTAGTATAGTGCATTGGCCCTCCTGGCTTGCCATACCATAAACTGCCCAAGTCAGCCCACAGGCCCTGTTTCCTTTCTTCATTACAAGCAGCCGCCTCCTGCGCGGTTCCCTGCCTCCAAGCACCACGTTGCATTACAGTACTTTTTGTTATGTGGCCTCCTCTTCATGTTACTTCTCGGTTTGTATTGGATGCAATGCTGGTGTGGGCTTTTGATGGTTGTGATGATGGGTTCTCCCCCCCCCCCCCGCCCCTTTGAAAGGACGATCAAAGCCTTAACCCATAAAAAATAATACCTTAAAATAAAAAAGAGCTCAGGCAGGATTTCAAATGCAAGAATGTTTTAGCTTTCAAATCCGAAAGGCCTCCACTGCTGCCCACATAGTCTATTCTCGGACTGCTGCTTCCAGGCAGCCAGAGTTTGAATGGATCTACAGTTTTTCTAAATTCCCTCCGCCCCCACTCCAAGGGGGAAGAAAGGAATCAAACAATTGTTGGGGGTATTTGTAGAAAACAGACCCTTTGGGCTTAAACCAGCTCATTGTTCCTGGAGGCTTATAAACACCACTGTCCCCATGGCCAGCATTAAAAGGTGGAGCGGTTCGCCCAGTTGCAATTAGCACACATTCCTTCTGTCACAGATGAATAAGGGTTCTTTCACAGTAGGATTGGAGCCCAAGAACTAAGGCTCCCATTGTGCCCTGCTGTTTATTGCTTTCAACTCTGTGGCAAACATGTCCACACTGACCATTACCCAGTAATGATTGCTGCATAGCTGGGCCTCCCTTTTCTTTTCGTAAACAGGCCCACACCTTCCTCCTGCTGCTTCCCATGTTCTGCAGAAGATCTCCCTCATCAAAGTTCCTTCCACGTGCACACCAATGCCCTTTTCTTCAAAAAACGCCTCTCTTTTTCCCAGACCTGTGATTAAAGAACTCTCCATATTGCAGAACAGCGCCGATGCAAAATGAGATGGGTGCAACCCTCACCGCACAGGTCAAGAACTAAGTGCCCAGCTGCATACCTGCTGCTCACCCATCTAGTGAAAGAGGCTTTTAGTTTGAGATGGACAGTGCCAAGCGTGGTGTATGTGGGCATGCGCATTTGCATCCGAAAGAAAGGGAAGCATAATGCATTGCGGGCTGGTGAGTAGCTTTCCTCCGGAATACATTGTTAGAAGCACTGCAGCCCTTTTTGGCAGAAGGCTGTGGAGAGGAGAAGGGATAGCACTTGCTCTCTCCGTGGGGATCACCAGCTCTTTCTGTGTGCAGAATCTTTCCATGGACAGAATGTCCATCCATATAGCCTTTATATGCCTTTCTCCATATATGCCCACTCGACTGCTTCGATTTGCAGAACTGGCGCTGGTGCTACATAATACTCATTCTGCACTTGTAAGAAATTGATTTTTTTTTAATAGAGCTGCAGCACCCACACTTTGGAACTTCCTCCCTATTGACGTCAGGTAGGTACCGTATTTTTTGCTCTATAAGACTCACTTTTTCCCTCCTAAAAAGTAAGGGGAAATGTGTGTGCGTCTTATGGAGCAAATGTAGGCTGTGCAGCTATCCGAGAAGCCAGAACAGGAAGCGTTGCTGCGCAGCAATCCCTCTTGCTGTTCTGGCTTCTGAGATTCAGAATATTTTTTTGTTTTGTTTTCCTCCTCCAAAAACTAGGTGCGTCTTGTGGTCTGGTGCCTCTTATAGAGCGAAAAATACGGTACCTTTTTGGTACCGGCTAAAAGCATTTTCTTTCAGACAAGCCTATCCAGATACATGTAGATGTCGAGATGCCTTTTATTCTGTTTTCAGCTTGCGTGTTGGTTTAATCATATTTTGTTTGTCTTCAAAATACCTGTTTTTAACGTCTTTTAATGACAATCTGGAGGTCTGTTTCGTTTATTTTTTGTAAGGTGCTTAGAGGTTTCAATTACAATCAAATGGCCTGTAAGTTTTATTAACTAAAATAAATAACTGCACACTTTCTATGTGTTTTGGGGGGACTCTGAAATTGGAGCAGAAGGCATGACCCCACTCTTTGGTGCCATGTTTGGGGGCAGGGTGTTGGTGGACAAGGGGCTTCTCCAGACAACCTGTTCATTGAGGATTCGCTCTGATTTCCTTGCACGAAGCTTACACAGAGGTCACGGCATGCCCATTCTTTATTGAGCATTTGTTTTTGTTGGTACATCTTCCCATTAATCATTCGCCCATCCCACACAAAACTCAAGAAGCCTGCTTTGTTTTTAAAGCGAATCTGTTGCCCTAGGTCAACAAAACACATTGTGCAAACCTAAATTTCTTGCATGTGCTTGAATCCCTCTTACAAAATACTGACAGCCTGGAGGTGACCAGGTGCCAATCCACACCATACTGTTGCATGCCACCCCAGTGTCTGAGCAGTGCAAGATTCCCAGGGTTCATGTTTCCTTTTGGAAAGGAGGCACAGTGGAGACTGTGGTGTCTTTATGATATATGGTTTGTTTACACATACAGTATATACAAGGGAGAGGTTCACAGCACTGACACTCCAAAAGGGTCTTGTTTCTCCCATAGCTTTGACCTTGGATTCCATTAGAAATCAAGCATGGCTTTCTCCATCTGCCTTCTCCTACCTTGCTACTTTACATCTGGCCCACAGCACTGCAACTCCACTTCGGCCTTGTGTTGAGGGAGGGAGGCTTACCCATTTGTCCTCTGGCACAGAGCCACTCCCTTTGTTACCTTAATGAACCCTACTTAGGCCATTACTAAACTCGTCTGACTATTACAGCAATTGAATCTGTTCTGGATCCAGGAATCCTGTGCTGGATGTACTGCTGGATCCAAGAAACAGGACATGTATTAGAAGGGTATCGGGCTACAACCTAACTCCCTCCCAAACTCATGACAATACATATTGAAGCATATCCAGCACACATTTAAAGCACATGGCTTCCCCGAAAGTATCCTGGGAATTGTAGTTTGTTATGAGTTCTTGGGAGATTCTCGGAGCAGAGGGGGAGCCATGTGTTTTAAAAGTGCATTGGGTGTGCTTTAGATGTGGATCACTTCTCCAATGTTCTCAATGCCCCCCTCCCTCTTGGGATCGGGCTCCATGATGCTGTCCATTCACTTGCTGCCTTCCTCCAGCTCTACTCTGGACATCTTTCCAGAGGGAGAAGTGAGGAGCAGCTCCTTCTCCTCCTACCCATTCTTCTCTGAGCGCAGGGAATGACAGCCAGGAGTAGGAGGTGCAGGTCTAGAGACTCTCCAGGGGTTCTTCTGATAGAGGACTCATAAGAGCCTGACACTGATAACATTAACCCTCTGCTTTTTCTCCACAGACAAATTCTACATGATGATTTTCAACTGTGTGAAAAAAGGCTTATGTTGATAAGGAACAGGAAGTTCATGCTATTTTGAATGGCAAAATAATTCTGCCACCTGTTTGTTGTCTCCCGGTGTGCATGTGGAAATTGCTCTTAAATCTCCCTTACAAAATTGTCCTGAAACTTTTTCCTTCATGAAGGATAGATAGCAAGGCAAACAACCTACCCCCCCCCGCCATCAAAAAAACAGCCCTTCTAGCTCTGCCTCCGTGGTCCAGGAGGACCCAAAGTGCTCAGGCACCCAGTTTTTTCTTGGATACCTATTACTGAGGATCAATTCACACCTCATTTAGGGAGGGGATATGATGAGAGAGTGAGATTGAATTTCACTTAGCTTCAAAATGCTCTTTTCACACTTTGGTTTAGACTAGAGTAAAGGTAAAAGGGACCCCTGACCATTAGGTCCAGTCGTAGCCGACTCTGGGGTTGCGGCGCTCATCTCGCTTTATTGGCCGAGGGAGCCACCGTACAGCTTCCGGGTCATGTGACCAGCATGACTAAGCCACTTCTGGCGAACCAGAGCAGCGCACGG